ACAAGGCACACGAACGTGAGCGAGGCAAGGCACTGATCTGAGGGGGGGGGGTATGGAGGAGGAGGGGGGAGTGCGCGCGTGCGCCCGCCCGCGGGTCACCGGGCGCCTGCGCGCAGAGCGGCGACATGCGCCTGGAGGCGGGCGATCTCCTCGCGCTGGGCGGCGATGGTGGTGGCCGCCAGGGCAGCCACCTTCTCCACCTCCTTGCGGGCAGCCCCCTCCATGTGGGCCTCCCGACGGGCCTCCTGCAGGTGGGCCTCTGCCCGGTCCAGGGCCTGGCCCTTGCGGTCGAGCTCCTGACGCAGCTCCGTGCGCACAATCTGCCCGGTCTCCTCGAGCTCGCGCGCGGTACGCTCGGCCCGGAAGGCCTTCCGCTGGAGCTCCTCCCCGGCGGCCTGGCTCTCGGCCAGGAGGGTCTCCAGGCGGGCCTTTTCCGCCTCCAGCCCGGCGACCAGGGTGGCCTGGGTGGCCAGCTCATGGCGCAAGCGCGCCCGGTCAGCATGCAGGTCGGCCCGGGCGGCCTCCATGGCGGCCAGGTCCTGGCGCAGGCCCGCCCGGTCGGCCTCCACCGCCGCCAAGTCCCGGCGGAGGTGCTCGCCCTCGCGTGAGAGGGCCTCATTCGCGGCGGCCAAATCCAAGTACTGGGTCCGCAGGGCGGCCACCTCGTCCAGGAGTGCCTGGTGGGCCGCGTGGGAGGAATCATCTGAAGCGGGGGCCTCGGCCGAGAGGCCGGCCAGGTGCGGGAGGCCCGGAGCAGCCGGCCCGGGAGCGGCCTGCCCGGGGGCGGCCTGCCCGGGGGCGGCTGCCGGAGCGTCCGCCACCGGACTCACCCCCGGCTGATCGGGGGCCTTGACCAGCAGGATGGGGATGGGCTCCAGCTGGATCGGCATGTCCACCGGGAGAGTCTGCACGGGGCCCGGGTCCGACGGGACGGCCGGCACATCTGCCGCGGGGGCCGCGACCGGATCGACCTGCAGCGGGAGCTTTTTGTTCTGCCGAGCAGGGAGACAGGGTCGGAGGGCGAGTCAGTATGCGGATGCATTGGGTCCGGGGGCGGGCCGCAGGCGCAGGCCGGGAGGCTGACTGGCAGGAAGAGAGGCCGATGTGCGGCTGTTGAACATGGCTGCGCACCTCGACAGACTCGGCGCCAGTGGCGAAGGAGACCGACCGGCTGCGCGGCTGCTGCGCCATCGGCCGCGAGGTGGAAAAGAGGTCATCATCCTGATCGGAGCTGGGGTTGCGCATGCGGATGGTGCGGGAGGCCCTCTGCAAGTGGGCAAATGCGGGTCCAAGCAGGGCATGCCCAGCCACGAGTGGACACGCGCGAGAGAGGGCAAGGGGCGGGGAAGGGCGTGCGTGGTACATGGCGTCAGTTGGAGAAGGTGACCGGGCAGGAGGAGGGCCGAGGGCCGGGGGCGAACGGCCGGCGCACCGGCTGGCTCTTCGGGGCGGAGGGCGCGCCCGGGGCAGTGGCCGGGGCAGGGGCACCAGCCGCACCGGCACTCGGGGCGCGCTTCTTGTGCTGCAGCGATACCGACTTCTCGTACTTCACCTCGACATCGTGATCGGCAAAGGAAAAGAGCTGCACCACCCAAAGAGGACCACGGGCGTCGGGGGGAGAAAAAAAAAAGCCCGGCCAGGAGCGGACGGGCGAGGCCAGATCGCGCAGTCAGTACATCGTGCTACCGGGGTCGGGCCAGTGGCGAGGCTGGCCGCGGCAGGAGGCCAGGTGCACGTACCCGGTCGAGCTCGTCCTTCTCCGCACGGCCCCCCTTGTCGATGGCTCCCTTGGCCAGGGTGATGCGCGGGGACTTGGCCCCGGTGGGCAGATCGACGGCCGCCAGGTTGCCGGTGGCGATGGCCGCTCCGACAGCCGCCCCCGCGGCCAGCATGTCCTCCTCGAGGGCGCCGGGGTCCACGACAGCCGACGCCTCGGCCGCCGGGGCCAAGCCCAGCAGCAGCTCCGGGGTGTCATCATCGCCGAGGATCTCGGCCGCGGAGGGCACCAGCAGGGCCCGACTGTCCGGCTCGGCGGGGATGCTGTCCCCCATGAGGCGGTCCAGGTGAGACAGAAGGGCCGAGGTGTCCAGCGGCTCCGGGGCCGGGGCCGGGGCCGGGTCAGTGGCAACCACCGCCGCCGACAGGAGGATCTCCTTCTGCAAGTCCGCCAGAACCTGCTGGGTGCTGGCCACCAGGACGGGCGGCACGGTGGCGGCGGCGGCGGCGGCGGCGGCGGTGGCGGTGGCGGCGGCGGCGGCGGCGGCGGTCATGGCGACTGGCTGCTCGGTCGAGTAGTCGGGGACAATCTCCACGTCGATGTCGATGGAGGGGCCGACGTCCGCCTCGGCGGAGACTTCAGGGGTGGCCAAAGCGCTCGCTGCGGCGGCCACCACAGCGGCCACGGTCTCGGCCACGGTCTCGGCCACGGTCTCGAGAACCGCATCCGAAGCCATGTCGGCCGTCACCGCGGCGGCAACCACCTCGGCGGCAACCACCTCGGCGGCTGCCGCAGCGGGGGCCGTGGCCATGGCCAGGGGGAAGTCATCGTCCGACTCGGAGTCCGACGACCAGGGGAGAGGAGCAGGCGTGGCACGCTGCGGGGCAGCCACCACCGGCGGAGCGGCCGTGGCCGGGCACTGGCTCGACGATTCGTCATCCGACTCGAAGTCCCAGGCAACGGTCGGCGCCTTGGACACCGGTCGACCATACGTGAAGGAGGTGGAGTTCAGGGCGTTGATCGCCTCGTCCAAGGTATCATCATCATCATCATCATCCTCGTCCGGCCCAGCCAGCCGCGCGGCCAGGCTGGGTGCGGGGCTGGCAGCCGCACATCCCGACGGCGGCGGTGCCTCCTCGGTTGCCTGCTTGTGCGACGTAGCAGCGATGGTGATGCCGGGAGGCGGGGAGCGGCGGAGTGGGGGTAGCCCGCGCACAGGAGAGGGGGCCAGGGCGAGGAAGGTGAGCTGAGAGCCACAATCGAAAGATGTGTGCGTGTGTGGTGGTGGTGGTGGTGGGGGCAGGGGAAAAGCTGCCACGCACGGCGGCGCTCTCCGCGCGGGGGGCGGCCACGGGGCCGGGGGAACTTACGGCAAGGGGCTTCGGAGTGGCCACGGCGGCGGCCCGGACCGCGGGCCGAGTGGCAAGAAAGGCGAAGTCCTCGTCGCTGTCGTCATCATCGCCGATGGCAGCCTGCGAGCCGAGCCCATGGCCAGTGGTTATGGCGGTGGCGGTGGCGGTGGTGGTGGTGGTGGTGGCGGTGGTGGTGGCGGTGGTAGCGGTGGGTGAGCATGACGCGAGACGGCTGGGCACACGCGAAGGCCTGTGGCAGCAGTGGATACGGGCCGCACAAAGGGCGCCAGAGGCTTGGCCGACCGCGGCGCGGCGAATAGCGAGTCGTCGCCGGAGTCATCCGAGTCGAAAAGGGCCGCACCGGGCGACATGGTTTTTTTTCTTTTGAGGTGTGTGCGTATGTATCGGCAGCCGGGGCGGGGCGGGGCGGGAGAAAGAGCGAGGCGTGGGTGCGTGTGTGGAGGAGGGGGGGGGGAGCGAGGAAGGAGGGGGAGGGTGCGTGTGCGCGGCCAACACGACGGCCAGGACCCCGGGCACGGCGCGCTTTTCGCCCCCCCCCTCGCCGCTCTCGCGTCCTCATAGGCGGGGCGTTCCCCGTGCCGGGGCGAGGGGGGCGAGGG